TGCCAGGTCCGCCACGCCGTCCTCCTCCATTGCTGCTGCTGCTGCTGCTGCTGCTGCTGCTGCTGCTGCTGCTGCTGCAGCTGCTGCTGTGCGAGCTGTCGGGCACTGCCCGCTGCAGCACAGCCCAAGGCCCGCAGCCACAGCCACAGAGGCCCCTCAGGCCTCCCGCAAAATGCAGAAAATCCTTAAGACTTTGGACTTAGCGTTTAGCGGCTAAGTCCGGGACTTGCAGTGCAAGATCTGCTGCTGCGGTGCTGCTGGGGCGCCGTTGGCTGGCGATCTTTGCCCGAAACGGAAACTTAGTGCTCGGGACATTCAAAAATGAAAAAAAACGTCCAAAGAAGGGAATTCTAGAGTCCTCTTCTCTAATTTAAACCCTAAACCCTAAACCCTAAACCCTCGCATGCAGCCCCGCAGCCGGTGGAGCCGTTTGGGTTGATGGTTTTTCGCGGGGAGCTGTGGAAAGCAAGTTCGAGTGGAATCCCTCGGGAAAATAAATTGCATTTTCAATTTTAATTCACAAAATATATTTTGAAGACTGTCTTGATGCGAAATTAATTCTAAAAAGCCGCGTTTCCCGCGTGTTCCTGGCGCCGCCCGCTGCAGAGTTCTTGAACGGGCAGCTGATCCGGAACAAAAGTCCAATAGTTTGAACAAATAAACAAAATAAATGAAACTTTTATTCTTTTTTAATTCTTTTTAACATTTAAAGCTCGCAAAAAGCCACAAATTCCAGTGAGATCGCAGTTCCGATCCTCACAAGAAGTTCGCCTTCAGAACAACACCTCAGGCGCCCACCCGAAGTTCAAATTGCAATTTCTCCGCATTACCCCAAATTGAATTAATTTTAATCTTTAATTATATTTATAGAAATTGCATTTTAATATTCTAAATTAAATATTGGAAAGAATTCAATTTAGAAGATTAATAGGAATTCAGTTTCGCTCCAGAGTCTTGCTGCTGCGGACACTGAAAGCAACTCAGCTTTATTTCAAATAGTTGATTTCGCTGAGAACCAATGCAACTACACCTTTAAACGAAAGCAGAACTAATTGAAATATAGTTTCTTATATTTTAAAAGAATTAAAAAATGAAACTATAATTCAAATAAATAAAAAATGAGTGACACTTCAAACCTCCCATTCAAGGAAAGCCACCTTCGGCTTTTGAAGCAGCGCAGCAAGTGGTCTTCTGCTGCGTCTGTACACTGCAGCAGACTTTCCAGAGTTGCTTCTTCTGGCAGCTGCCAGAATAAAATGGCAGCAAATGCTGCTGCTGCAGTGAGCAGCAGCAGCAGCACTTGCTGCAGCGGAGCAGCAAACAACACTCCTGAGCCATCTCCCACGAAACCGCATGCAGCAGCACAACACTTAGATCTAAGCCCACCTCTAAGCAGCAGCAGCAGCAGCAACAGCAGCTGCAGCAACAGCAACAGCAGCAGCAGCAACAACAATAGCAGCAGCAGCAGCAGCAGCAGCAGCAAGCTCTCCCCACCGTTTGTCCGCTGTCTTCAGCGAAGTGCTGCTGCAGCAAACTGGTCATTTCTGCTGCTGCTTGTGTCAGCAAAAGCCTTTTTTATAACAGAAAAAAGTTGGAAAAGAAAAGAAAAAGAAAAGAAGAAGAGAAGCAATTCAAGACAGCCCGAGCCGCTTGCCAAGGCTGCTGCTGCTGCAGTTGAAGCAAGCAGCAGCAAAGTTGAATAATGTCTTTGGCAAAAAAGGAGCTCAAAATGCCACTTGCGGAAAACAACTTTGCCAGTTTGCTGCTGCCAAAACAAATACTTCTGCCACTCCGACAAAAGAACAAACAACTCCAATCTAAATTCTCTCCAACTCAAAAACTTTCCAAAAAAATCCAACAAGTCCGCGCCAAACGGCGCATGCAACATGTGCCAATTCGCCCAGCTGTACGTACACCCCGCGGTGTACGTACACCGCGCCGGCCACTGGGGTGTACGTACACCGCAGCTGCATGCGGCGCTCGCTGCATGCGCCTCTGGCTGCATGCAGGTGCCCCGCTGCATGCAGCCCCGCCATTGCATGCATGCATGCGTCTGACTCTGCATGCAGCCCCCCCATTGCATGCATGCATGCGTCTCGCTGCATGCAGACCCCCCATTGCATGCATGCATGCGTCTCGCTGCATGCAGCCCCCCCATTGCATGCATGCATGCGTCTGACTCTGCATGCAGCCCCCCCATTGCATGCATGCATGGGTCTCGCTGTCTCGCTGCATGCAGTCCGCCACTGCACGCATGCACGCTGGCCGCATGCAGCCCCGCCACTGCATGCATGCATTCATGCATGCATGCATGCATCAATGCACGCATGCGCATGCATGCATGCATGCATGCATGCATGCAGGCTGCATGCAGCCCCATTGGCGCATGCACGGAGAGTGCATGCTAAGGCCCGAAGCCAAGGTAAGTGGGGTCTCCGGCTTGGGAGGCGAGAAGCCTCGCGCGTTTTTGCAAAACGCCCCAATCCACTTGCGGAAAAGAGTTTCGAATTAATTCTCCCTGAAAGAAAAATCAAATAAAACTGAATTAATAACTCCCCATAAAGCAGCAGCAGCAGCAGCGGCAGCAGCAGCAGCAGCAGCAGCAGCAGCTCGCTTGTTTTGGTGCGGAAGGAAGTGCAGCACCCAGGTGCCTCAGCACCACCACCAGCACCCTCTCCAGCACCCGCACCCCCAGCAGCAGCATCAGCAGCACCCGCACCCCCAGCAGCAGCAGCAGCAGCAGCAGCAGCAGCAGCAGCAGCAGCAGCAGCAGGAGCTCGCCTTATTTTGGTGCGCGAGGAAGTGCAGCACCCAGGTGCCTCAGCACCACCACCAGCACCCTCTCCAGCACCCGCACCCCCACCAGCAGCAGCAGCAGCACCCGCACCCCCAGCAGCAGCAGCAGCAGCAGCAGCAGCAGCAGCAGCAGCAGCAGCAGCAGCTCGCCTTATTTTGGTGCGCGAGAAAGTGCAGCACCCAGGTGCCCCTGTCCCGCTGCTGCACAGTGGTGTCGATGAGCATGGAGAACCAGCCGCCAGCAGAAAGGGCAAATCTTGTGTTTTTTTTGGAGTCCAAATCAATTTGGATTTCATTTATTATCAAAGACAAAGACCCCAAACAGCCCTCCAAACCCCACAAAAAATAATCCCCCAACTCTCTAAACCAGTACAAGTGGCTGCGGTGCAGCAGCAGGTACCGCCCCGCCCACTCCCGCTGCAGCCGCCCCCCCCGCGCCCCGGGCGCTGCGCTCACGCTCCCTGCAGCAGCAGCAGCAGCAGCAGCAGCAGCAGCAGCAGCAGCAGCGGCAGCAGC